TCCTCCTCCTTCTCCTCCTTCTTCTTCTCCTCTTCCTCCTTCTCCTCCTCCACCTTCTCCTCCTCCTCCTTCTCTTCCACCTCCTCCTCCTCCTCCCCCTCCTCTGCCGTCTGGCCGGGCCCAGCAGGCCGGATAGTTTAATGTCACGGTGATCTACGGGGTATCGATCTGTGGCAGACAGGGTCTCACTGTGGGAATGTGTGTCTCTTCGTCTGCTTGTTTGTCTGTGTGTCCCTTCTTTATGTTCTACGACTGTTTTATTTTTGTTGTTTTTTGTTTAGTAGAGGTTTTACGGCGCTCGCAACTGCATAAGGTCATAGGAGCGCCAAAGTTTTTTGTTTTGTCGTTTTCTGGTCTACGAGTCTGTCTTTGAGCTTAGACGGATAAATAGATAGATAGATAGATAGATAGATAGATAGATAGATAGATAGATAGATAGATAGATAGATAGATAGATAGATAGATAGATAGATAGATAGATAGGCAGGCAGGCAGATATACATCAGAGTGTCTAGATCTTAGATGATCCGGTCTTGGATATAACAATACAAATTACATGATCTGTACTCTACATGCAAAAGGTGGGCACGTCAAAGAGTGCGTAGGTACATGCCAGACACAGTGTGAGATGACAGAACATTGCTAGAGAGCAGGAAAGGGGGTGATGGGGTGGAGGCAGAAAGGGGAGATGAGAGCAGACGATAGAACATTGTCAGAGAGCAGCGTGGGTACATGCCAGACACAGAGTGGGTACTTACTGACACAAATAGGGCAACACTCCCCGTCTCTGTACACGGGATTTGAACACTCAGTCGCTGGGCACTCCTCCTGGTGACACTCTACCGTTCCATTCTGAAAGAAAAAAGAGACAAAGAGAAAGAACATTAATGATTGAGGTACACTCCAGCAGGCAGATCTAGATCTAGTCTGGAATCTTCACACTTTATTAGGCGAATTTTTTTTTTTATGAATGAAGGTGGTTTACAGCCCCACCTCCTCCTCCTCCTCCCCCCCCAAAAAAAAAAACACAAAAAAACAACAACAAACAAACAAAAAACAAACATAATTAAGATCATTTAGAAAGCGGACTTCGACCCTGTCACTGCCAGTCATCACAGCCAACCCGAACAGAGAAGGAAATAATGCTCTAGAAGAAAAATGGGGATACTCGATAACGATTCTTTCCAATCGTGATTTCAGTTCTGTTCTTCTGCGAGCTGCAGCAGAGCTCCTAACCGCTAGGCTATGCCTTAGGCGCCCGTCATTAAACGAGCGATGTTATATTATTCAGAAAATAATACGCGTATTTTTGTGACGTCGAAACAGAAAATGAGCAAGAAAAAAAGAAAAGCTCAAAGAAAATCTAAGAATCAAATGTGAGGTTGTTGCGGGCATGTTGGGCTCAGGTTCCTCCAAGAAGAAGAGCCGTCGTGTTACGGGCATCGATTTTGTGGCGGGATGAGGAGAGTAGGGTCAGTGTGACCGGGCCGGTGAGGGTGTTCTAGATCGCCATGTCGTACATCACAGATTGCGTTGCGCGGACACACAGATAGACTCGTGTACGGACAGCGGGGAGGGGGG